CGTTAGACCATGTCCTCAGAAAATGTTTGATATCTGACCTTTCCCCCACTGCCCTTTCACCTGTGACCTCCACTTTTGCGCTGATGATGGGTTTCCTCCCAATCACACTATACATCGAATATTAAGAGCGTAGGTTGAGCCGTTGAGATTTGTGCTGCAATTCCGTATCTCCTCCTATACCTTAAGTTAAGGGGGAAATATTCCCCCTCCATTGACACACCTTGACCTTTGACCATAGACCCCCAAATTCGACATACCGAGTCCTTTTCGCAATACCCCCCACCCCCCGACATCCCAAATATCAAGACCGTACGTGGAGCGGTTAAGATTTGTGCCATTACTGTTGGCACACGGACGGACGGACGGACAGACATTCGTGCGATTCTACAAGCTGCATCTGACTTCGTCAGCCGAGCTAAAAAGTACACGTAAGAGCAATGGGACAGACACTATGAACAATATAACAGTTAAATCCTTGTGAACCCCTGGTTAATTATACGGTTTCCAGCATGAATCGGTGTTGTGGAACAAATAGATGTCATGAGATTATATCAAGAGCTAATAATACCTATAATAGTATTATCAGCTCTTGATCATATGTAAGTATGCAAATTTTTTACCACGGCTAGTCTGTCGATATCGCGATCTCGTTTCTGCATCTGCTCTATGGTGAGTTCCCACTGTGTGATCAGCTCCTGCCGGGCCGCATGTGCAGTCCTAAACTCCTCCGCTGCCTTATCCAACTCCATCTACAACAGTCAATGTATGCTACACTGTACACTATAGTAGCCAGTAATACCACAATGACAATGTATGCTAGATAGCGTTCAAGAGTTTGACGATGTGATTTGACGATGACGATGTGACGAGTTTGATGATTATGTAACCTGAGCTGAGAGTGTCTCTGTTGTCTCCATGTCTAGAGCCCTCCTCTTCCTCTGGGCTTCTTCTGTGCGCTTCTCCAATTGTAGCTCCAGCTCCTGCAGAGAATAAACACACATAGGCAGTGCTCGACTTGATTCTATGCAGCACCCATACATCACTGTAGAGCACTAATACCAATGTATTTATCATTTTGTCACTTATCCTCTGTGTAAAAGTGAAACACCATATCCTTCAAGCAATTTATTCGTGCTCCCCATCCCCTTCCTGCCACTTTAAAAACAGTACCAGTGCTTTTCCCTCAATGCTATCCATGGGAAAAAGCAGAATTTTTTATAGCACGTTTAATAATGAAAACTGGCAACACATGCAATTCGATTGACTGATACAACAATTCCGATAGTGATCGATACACAAATAAGTCAGGCTGCGTGGATACCAGGATTGCTCATTATTCATTGTTAACCATACAGCTTAATCAAAATATAACAGCATAATATAACAGCATAGCACAATAAGCTAGTCGAATCCACAAGGGAAATCCAGTGGACCTGCGGCTCATGGAGCACATCCAGGACTGACACACACGCATTGGTACCTTGATCTTGCTCTCGTCCTGGCGTGTGTACTTCTGCAGTGTGTAGTTGTCCTGGTCGCGGCGTGCACACTCTTCCAGCCAAGCTTCCAACGCCTGCTGGTCCCAGTTCAGCTGCGACTTCAGCTGCTCCAGCTTCTCCTGCTGTCTGAAGATCCCCGTCTACACAAGAACACAGTCACGTCACAGCACACCTAGAAGATCTCAATCTACACGAGGTATATGTGACAACAGTCATGTCACAGCACACCTAAAATACACCTGTCTACACGAGGTACATGTGAAAATACTGCCATGTGACAAAATTCTTGTTAGATACCCACCTGAGAAACCCCATTGCAAAATTGTAATGCCTATGGTCACACCATAATTAACACACCTCTTGCATTTTTTTCTTCTCATTCAGTTCGTTAAGCTCAGAAGTGAGCCGTCGGATCTCTTGCCTTAGCCTACCCTCCTCTCTCTGTGCCAGCTGCAGTAGATGACGCTCCGTATCACTCTGATTCTTTCTTGCGCCCAGTAGTCCCTGTCAAATCAAAACGAAATAATTTGTCACATTAATAGTCATTCATTCTCTTAATCAATTCATTAGTATTTATGCTAGCTACTAATAGTAATACTATTTAATGACAGAAAAATGTTTATTATTGCAATTCACCTGAGTGTTTTCCAGTTCTTGTCTGACATTTTTCGTGTGTGTGCTCATCGCATGGATCCTATCCTCATGTTCATCAAGTTGCCTTTTCACAACCACCAGCTCATTTTCCTTTGCATGAAGCTAGAAAAAAGACGTTATACTTATACCTAGTATTTATACTCTGCATTAATTGATTACACAGCCACTTTTGCGAGCCGTACAAGTAAGTACAGCTCGCTAGTCCGATGGCCCAATAGTCCGAAAGCCCACTAGTCCGAAAACCCACTAGTCCGAAAGCCCACTAGTCCGAAAACCCACTAGTCCGAAAGCCCACTAGTCCGA